GTTGGCCTTAAACTCACTGTGTAGCCAAGAATAACTTTGAATATCTGACTCTTGCCTCCAAGTTTCCAAAGGCTGAGATTACAGCTGTAATACTACCCTTCTGCTTTTCTGTGGTGCTGGGTACTGAGCTCAGGACTCTATGCATGTCAGGCAAGCACTATACCAACACAGCTACATCCCCAGCCGTGCCCACTGAGGTTGCCAGGGGAGCTGGCTTTAGTCTCTCAGACACCTTGGCCTTCTGTTGCCCAGTTGCAAGATAAACATTGAACCTAACAAGTCACTCCCTTCAGTGAAGAAAGATATTCTCTCCATCAAACCTTGAATGCCAAGCTTTCTGTGACATGGCTGCCTGAGGGGGTCAGCTATGAGTCCACGGAGCTGCTTAGCAACTCAGGGTAACTGGATGACTGTGTCAACAGTTCAGGGCCAAAGGCTACAAGAGCCAGAGTCTACTTCCTCTGTCAAAACCTAGGAGGGTGACACTTGGCTGCTGGCCTCCCACTCCCCAGTGAGGAGCCCAGCTCTCAGCATCAGACCTCTGACTTTTTGTCCTTTAACTTTCCCAAGCACAGACATCATGGCCAGGAGTCTCTCTGTGGGTGAGATGGTCCCAGCTGGGAGAGCTCAGAGTGGGCACAGGCAAACTCTTTCCAGCGAATAAAAACAGGGAAGCTGTTTTGTAGTCTCTCTCTCTCTCTCTCTCTCTCGCTCTCTCTCTCTCCCTTTCTCTCCTTCCTTCCTTCCCTCCCTCACTCCCTCTCCCCCCCTTTCTTTCTTTCTTTCTTTCTTTCTTTCTTTCTTTCTTTCTTTCTTTCTTTCTTTCTTTCTTTCTTTCTTTTTTCCCTCAGGCCACCCCTGCAATCAAATCCTCCTGCCTCTGCCTCCTAAATGCTTGGATTACAGGTGGATACCACCACACCCATCTTAAAACAAGGCTTCAGTTGGCTTGGGGAGAAAGCCTAGTGGGTGAAGTGCCTGTTGCACAAACACAAGGATCCGAGTTTGGGTTCCTAACACTTGGGTAAAAAGCCAGGCATGGAGGCACATTTGGGTAATCTCAGCACTACTGGAGACAGATCCTGGGAGTTTAATGGCCAACCAATCTCCCTTAAATAGTGAACCAGAACAACTAGAAGACCTTATCTCAAAAAAGTAAGTGGCCCACGCACGCCTTTAATCCCAGCATTCAATAAGCAGAGACAGACAGATCTCTGTAAATTTTGACCATGCCAACATACACAGTTAGAGCCTGCCTTAAATAAGCAAACAAAAAAAAATGTAGAGAAACAATTGAGAAAGACATCCTGATGTTAACTCCTGCCCCTCCACAAGTCCCCTGCCTGCGCACACACACACACACACACACACACACACACACACACACACACAGAGACATGCACAGACATGCATGCACCACACACAGAGGCTGTGATGCTGGAGTCAGGGAAAAGGTTTTAGAGTCAACCGGTGGGTAGACATGCCAGGGGACTTGGACTCACATGGCTTTTCTCGATGATGAGCTGTCACTTCCTTTACAGTCCTCTATACTTCCTAAGTTGGTCCTGTCAGTCACATCCTTCTGCCCTCAAGGAAATACACAATACTTTTTGTTTGATGTTCTTAGGACAGGGTCTCCCTATATAGTCCTGGATGTCCTAGAACTCAATATGTAGACTAGGTTGGCTTCAAACTCACGGAGATCTGCCTGCATTTGCCTCCTAAGCTCTAGGGTTAAAGAGGTATGCCATCATACCTGCCTAAGGAATCTGATCAGAGATGCCAGGGAGATGGCTCAGCAGTTAAGAGCACTGGCTGTCCTTCCAGCGCCCACATTCAGGCTAACAGCACCTGCATCTCCAGCTCAACAGCACCTGCATCTCCAGTTCCAGAGTTGATCTGACGCCCTCTTCTAGCTTCCGCAAGCACATACATACATGCAGCCAACACACATATACACATATGCATACACATACATATATGCATACACATATCTTGACCCGATAAGTGCTTTCCTAGATGAAGCCCTGGGTTTGAGCTCTAGCACTGAATGAACCAAACACAGTGACATGTACCCTTAATGCCAGCATTTAGGAAGAAGGAGCAGGAAGATCAAGGCCATACCTAGACTACATAGGACCCTGTCTACTTAAAACAAAAATGGCTCTTAAAAAGAATGGTGTGTCTGGACCTTCTTAATGGGATCCTCAGGGCCTTGGGTGTTTCTTGTTTCCCCAAAAGGAGTCTGGGGGAGGGGCGGTAGGAGCAAGGGGGCCGTAAGGCATAGGGGAGTTTCTCCTGTGGGCAGGTTTCATTGCTGGCTCCCACATCCAGCAATACCAATAAAATTGATGATAATAATTAAGACTGTATAATCACCATGTGTTTGTTTATTCCCATGAAGCCTCCTTTCCCTCGCTCCCATGATTACCAATCCCATCCTCATGGATGGTGGGCGTTAACTGCACTCTAATAAAAGGCAGTAACTGCCCCTGTTTCCACCCCCACAGCCCTGGGGTAGCTTGGCTTGCATCCTTACCTCAAGGTGTGTGTGTGTTAAGGTGGGGTACTGATCTCCCTATTTTCAGATGGAGCAACTGAGACAGAGGGCAGAGGTCACAAAGAAAAAAAAAATCCATGTGTAAAAAAACAAACAAAAACAAAAAACCAGTCTTTCTCCTTTGTAGCTTCCTCCCTTCTTGCATGAGTAATTGCCTTACCAGAGTTAACTTCTTTAGGTCTCTGACCCCTACCAGGGCCACTGGTAGCTGGCTGCTGCTGATTCCCAAGAGAATTGACCATGCCACACGTTTAGCCACTGGCCAGCAGTTTAGACTGCTCAGTAACATTGGGCCATTCACTTCAAAAGCACATTTCTTTCTCTCTCTCTTTTTATAAGGATTTACTTTCATTTTATGTGCTATGAACCAAACAAACACCAAAGTTAGCTGGTGTTTTGCCTTCGTTTATGTCTGAAGGTGCCAGGTCCCCTGGAATTGGAGCTACAGACAGTTGTGAGCTGCCGTGTGAGTCCTAGGAATTGAACCCTGATCCTCTGGAAGTCAGTGCTCTTAACAGCTGAGTCATCTCTCCAGCCCCCTGAGAACGTTTCTTAATTTAAAAAAAAAAACCTTTGCAAAGATTACGACTATGGGTAAATTGGACAAGCTTCTCCTTGCAGTAGACAGTTGGCAGGGACCCACAGTTGAACAACAAAAAGAGACTGAGCACCTTCAGAGCAGTCAGACCTAAACAGGATGTCTCCCAGCCCACCCTTCAAGGCTCTGGGATCTCTGCAAAAGTGGGGACAGATTTTAAGAACCAGAGGTGGTGGAGGCCTCCATGGGAACAGTCTTTTCCAGACCCAATGGGCAGATGCACACATGAATTCAGAGACTGACAGCATGCCTATGACCTGCACAAGCTCAAGCCAGACACCAATATCAGCACAGAGGAGAAGTGGGCACAAAATCTCATCTCTAGCCATGAAGCTATTTGAAACTGATACCTGCTGGGAGACAGAAAATTAGTCCTCTTCACTGGAGTCACGCTGGGTCTATCAACCACTCCAGTGTAGGTCCCATCCTCAGTAGTTGGGCAACAAATCAGACTCCATGGTTCTGTTTGGGTTTTTTTTTTTAGTTGTTTATTTTTTTTGTTATTGTTGTTGCTGTTGTTGTTAGTGGTGGGGTGTGTGTGTGTGTACTCACATGCATTCATTTTTCTTTTATTGAAAACAGATTTTTTGGTTGGGTGGTGATGGTGCACGCCTTTAATCCTAGCACTTGAGAGGCAGAGGTGGGTAGATCTCTGAATTCAAGGCCAGCCTGATCTACAGATAGAGTTCCAGGACAGCAGGGGTACAAAGAGAAATCCTGTCTCAAAACAAAAAACAAAAAAACAAAAACAAAAACAAAACCAAAACAAACAAAACAAAAACCCTAAGATGATGATGATGATGGCGACGACGACAGTAATGATATATCCAAATTTGTCAAATGCTATAGCTCGCCGGTGTGGCCAGCCTTATAAGAAGAAGCTTCAACAATCCCATCATTTCACACACAACAAAAACAACAAGCACAAAACAGCCAATGTTGATTTTGGAATTTCTGGGATATTTGTATCCCTGTCTCAAAAACAGGTGGGATTTCAAAACTCTAGGGAAGAAGATCCGGGGTGATCCCGTATCTTCACTCAGTCTCCAAGACTTTGGGGTCAGACTGCCCAGGTATATGGATCGTGGAAAGATGCTTTAGAAACAAGTGGAGCCCTGAAGCTGTCAGGAAGGTGAGCATGGTCTGCTGGACTACTGGGAAGGTAGGATCAGATCAGAACCTGCTTCCTCTCAGCCAAGCACTCTTTTCATTCTCTATCCCATTTTACAGAGATGGAGAAATGATAAAAAGGTATCGGAAGAACATTCCCAAGTCGTCTTTTATTTCCTCTCCTTTCCTTTTTTTTTTTTTTTTTCCTTTTTGCAACACTGTATTGATATACCTGTAACCCAGCCTGGACTGGTAATTCTCCTATCTCAACCTCAGAGACTCATGTGTGTGCTATCCCATCTAGCTAGGAGTCCGGGTTGTTTTTGTTCCTTTTTTTCCACCTGCTAACCTTTCAGATCTGGAAGACTATTCGACTGGCGGCCCCACCTCCGAAGTGCGGGGAGCGTCGCCGCTTTAAGAGACGGGCCTTTTGTCTCCCTGACCTCGTCCCGCCCCTCTGAAGGCTTCATTGCGCCTGCGCCTGGAGCTTGAGCTCTGGGGTTGGGCAGGACCCGGTTCCGTGCAACTTTCAAGTGAGTTACAAACTCCGCCCCGGAGACCGGTGCAGGTGGTCGGACGCTCGCGACCCCGGCGGTCCGTGAAGACGGAGGTCCGGACCTGCCACCCGGATCCGAGACTAGCAGCGGCGCCATCGACGGGCGGACGAACGGCTCTCCGCGGCCGGAATTGTGGGACCGAGCCGCCAGGATTTGGCGGCGCGGGGCGGAGGAACGCGCCCGCCCGCCTGCCCGCCTCGGTGCTAAGGCGGCTTCCTCTGCGAGGCCCTCCGTCCACTGGTTCCGGGTTCTCCCAGCTCCCCTCACTGCGGGGTCGGAGTCAGGGGTGGTGATCTCCGCCTACACCGAGGGACAGGTGTACTGCAGCACCACTCGGCCCCTTGCCCCAGCTCCTGAGTGAGCGTCCCTCCGGCTGTCTCTTGGGATCATCCCCTAGGCTGTCAGGATGGTGTCCTGGATGATCTGTCGCCTGGTTGTGTGAGTATGGCCACTGTGAGACCACCCCACCCACCCCTTATCCCCGGATGCCAATCTGCCTTTGGGTGGAAACTGGGAACATTTGGTAACGAAGGGAATTCTCTGAACTCCATGACCCGGTTCCCCAGCACACACTTAACGGTCCTGGAGGTCTGAAGTGGGACCCGGTCACTGCATACCTTCTTTCCACCCTGCAGCCTTCTGGCCTGACAAAGACCCTTCGTACATGCACACACACTGCAGACAGGTGCTGGTAGGGCTCAGGGCCTTTACTACCCACAGCCCCGTGAGAAGGTGATTAGGCACTGCTGTGGGTGGAGAATCCAGGTGCCTCCTTCCCATCCGAGCAGCCATATGACCCACCACCCGAGCTTCAGCTTCCACAGTCTGCACCTCACTTTTGGATATTCCAACACCTGGCTCAAATGTCGCTCACTGCATGCCGGTGGCCCTGGGCCTGATTACATGTAGTGGGAGGGAACAGCCTGGTGTTCTCACCCACTTTGTTGTGTGTTCTCAGTCTGTCCTGTACCCATGGGCCACCGGTGCAGGCCTGGGCAGGCTTGGGATGTTTGTAAACAGCCGGGTGGGGAGGCAGCCTCCAGGGCACTGACTCAGGCACCCAGGGTTGTGCAAGCCAAGCGGGAAAAACAGGGCAGGCACTGCCATCTCGCACCCAGGTCAGGGGGAGCAGCCACCTGGCAGGGAGAGGGTGGGGCATGGTGCCCCTCACACGTCCTATGGCTGCTGTTCCAGGCTCATATTTGGCATGCTGTATCCTGCTTATGCTTCCTACAAGGCTGTGAAGAGCAAGAACATTCGAGAATATGTGAGTGCAAAGAGTGAGGTGGATGACAGCCTTGAGGAATGGTCAGGGAGGTGACAGGACTTGGTGATGTTGGAGGGCCTGGGCTGGCCTGTCAGACTCTGAGGAGTTTGACGGTGGAACAGATCTAATAGAGTGGTAGAAGGAAGACCAGCCATTAGTATGGCCATGAGGATCTTGTGGGCGAAGCATGCTGGGGTGGGCACTGGAACAAAAGGCAGTTTCTCAGGGGCTCCTGTCTAAGCAGATGTGGGAAAATGTAGCCAGCAATGCAGTGGGACTGGCTTTAAAGAATCTCTGGGTTGGGCTAGCTGGGGGCGGGCATTGGCACCTCAGGTTCCCAAGCTGAGCTCTGTGCACTCTGACCCATAGGTCCGATGGATGATGTACTGGATTGTGTTTGCAATCTTCATGGCGGCAGAAACCTTCACCGACATCTTCATTTCCTGGTTTGGCACAAGGATTGGCAGGCTAGGGGTTGGGAAGGCCCACTCACTACCTGGCATCTGGCTCACACAAACCCCTCCCCTTGCTTACACAGGTTCCCGTTTTATTATGAGCTCAAGATGGCTTTCGTGCTGTGGCTGCTCTCACCTTACACCAAGGGAGCCAGCCTGCTCTACCGAAAGTTTGTCCACCCGTCCCTATCCCGCCATGAGAAGGTACCCGTAGGGGAGACAGAACAGAAACAGAGGAGGGTGTGTTAGGGAAGTGTGTCAGAGAGAAAGTCCTGTATCTCAGGTTCAGGGAGCTGGAGGTGGCCGGGTCTTATTTCCTGTCCCTCTGTGGCTTTGCTGCGGGACTGTGATAGGGGTTGGCTTTCCCCATCTATCTGGATGATACATATGGACAAGCCAGCAGGAAGTTGACATGGACATGAAAGAATGAGAGGGACACCCACTAAAGTGTGGAGTGGGTGTGTACTTGGGGAGTCCTGCTCTTAATTGTTGTTCTGAACCTATATCTGTGGCTCCTGGGTCCTATGTAGGGGCCGTGGGACTATGACAACCAGTGGGTTGGGGTCTGCAGAGCCGTGGCTCTTTTTTTGTTTTTGATCTGAGCTCTCTGCCCTGGGCCTGCAGGAAATCGATGCGTGCATTGTGCAAGCAAAGGAGCGCAGCTACGAGACCATGCTCAGCTTCGGGAAGCGGAGCCTCAACATCGCTGCCTCAGCCGCTGTGCAGGCTGCTACCAAGGTGCTCTGGGCCCCGGTGCTCACAGCGTCTCCCCCACTCCTAGTATCTTAGAGCCAGATCAGTTCTGAATCTTGTGCCCCAGCGATTAGCTGAAGGGCAGCTTCTGCATTAAAGCCCTTCCCCCTGCAGCCCTCCTCTGCAGTTAACAGTGGCTCCCACCCCTCACTTCCTAGAGTCAAGGTGCTCTGGCTGGAAGGCTGCGGAGTTTCTCTATGCAAGACCTACGCTCCATCCCTGACACCCCTGCCCCCACCTACCAAGATCCCCTCTACCTGGAAGACCAGGTACCCCGACGCAGACCCCCAATTGGTAAGTGGAAAAGGGACAGAAAGCTGACCTGGGAAGGTGATCCTCTCTGAGGACTAGAGGAAAGCTGGGTGTGACCCCAGGCCTGTATAAACGTTCAGCTGTGCCCTGCTGGCCTCTCTTTCCCAGGATACCGTCCAGGTGGCCTACAGGACAGTGACACAGAGGATGAGTGTTGGTCAGACAATGAGATAGCCCCCCAGCCACCTGTCCGGCCCCGAGAGAAACCTCTGAGCCGCAGCCAGAGCCTCCGGGTGGTCAAGAGGAAGCCATTGACTCGAGAGGTAAGTGTGTTGGAAGGACGGTGTGAGGGAGGTGGGTGAAGCTGCCATGCCCACACCATTCATGGTATATTGGCTTTCTCTCCCTAAGGGCACCTCACGCTCCCTGAAAGTCCGAACTCGGAAAAAGGCCATGCCCTCAGACATGGACAGCTAGAGTGTACAGATTCAGGCCACCTTACCTCTGGAACCAGCAGGGGACCTTCCACTGCTACACCAGCTACCTGGGCTCTGTTCCTTCTGGTTTCTGCCTAAGGCTTGTGCCTAAGGGGCACATGGCGTGGTACCCAGCAAGGGGATATACTCACTATACCAAAGCAGGCCAGGCCCAGGGGCCTATTTATTGCCTTCCTCAGCCTTTTACTTTCCCAGACATGGGACCAGAGCCCCACCATTCCCTGCAGACTAAACCAAAAGTCCAACCAGCTGTGTTCCTCCCTTCTTGTCCTTCAAAATACTTGACAGCCTTTTCCAAGGCCTGGTGTGTGTGTGTGCGTATGTGTGTGTGACCTAGCTGCGTGTTTCATGTTGGTGAGTGATGTCAGGCTTGTGAATATTTTTTTTTTTCTTTTTTGTTTTGTTTTGGTTTTTCGAGACAGGGTTTCTCTGTATAGCCCTGGCTGTCCTGGAACTCACTCTGTAGACCAGGCTGGCCTCGAACTCAGAAATCCGACTGCCTCTGCCTCCCAAGTGCTGGGATTAAAGGTGTGCGCCACCACCGCCCGGCATGAATATTTTTATAAATAAATACCAAACAGTGTTTGGCCTCTCCTGACTGGTCTCCTCACATCTCATATTGTAACAACTCACTGCAGGCTCAGGCAGAGACTATGGAGACTTCCTGAAGATCTCTGTGCCCCATCCCAGCAGCAAGTGTTCTTACTGTTGCTCCTAGGGAGCCCCATGGAGTCAGGGTGGAGCCCGGTGTGTTGACACAAGCCTTTGATTCCAACATGGTTGATGGGGAGAGGGTAGGAGAATATAAGTTCAAGTCCAGCATGGTCTACATAGCCAGTTTCAGGTCAGCCAAGACTAGAGAGACCCTATCTCAGAAAAGCAAGAGTCAGACTGATCTTAAAGACTCAAGAATCAAGAGTCAGTACTGGGACTCACAGGATGAGGCAAAAGTATGGACAGCGTGTAGAAACTACACAGAGCAAACCTGGGGAGGCAGGCTAGGCCTTCCATGAACCTAGAGGGGTCACAGTTCAGTAAACTCTTCCATAGACATTCAGGAACGATCAGGGTGAATTTGCACTCTAAGCCACAAGAGGGCAGCAGCTGCCTAGGACCAGGCTGCCCCCACCTTCCAGGTCAAGGTGGGCGGGGCTCGGAGACTAGCCAAAGCCTCACCCTGCTGGAGCCTGGCTGCTGATGGGGCAGGCCAGAAGAATGATGCCGAACCCAGCAAGGCCAATGATAGCCCTTCTCTGATGCTTGCAGTTGATCTGTGGCCTTCTCCATCCATAGAGACCCAGACTCTTGCCCTGGAGTGGCTTTATTCCATCTCCTTTGATCCCTGGGTCATCCGTCCCTGAAGTAGGAGTCACGTGGTACCCAGGGTCCTCCCTCCTTCCACCCCATCTGTCCTCCCTTCCCACTTCAGAGTAAAGAGTGCTGGTTGGAGGAAAAATATGAGCTGCCGAATTGGAGTGGCCTGTGAGGATTAACTCTTGGTGTAGGGATTATCTGGGTTTTATTGGAGGGAAGGCACTTAATCTGTGTGGCTGATTTAGCCTCACATGGATTGGGATTCAGTGGCTTTTCCCTATGGCATTCTCTATGCGATGCTGATTTTTACCACCTCATTAATTCACTCCAAAGATGTGTTGCTAGATACTGTAGGGGTGAGAAGACGAGGAAGTCGCTACTATTGTTATGACTCTCCATTTCCCGAATAGGCACACAAAGGGCAAATGATTTGCCCAAGGTGGCCTAGCTAGTAAGTGGCAGGATTGGGCTTTGGCCCAGGCAGTCTGGCTCCAGAGTTGATGTTCTTAATCACTATTCAGTAAATGGGCTGTTCCTTCCCTGGGGGTGGGAGGGCAGGGAGAAGGAGCCTAGAGTGTGTGGAATATTTGTTGCACACCTGACCTTGCGCTGGGCATTTCAGAAACAGTTTCTTTGAGTCCTCTCAAAGGGGCCTGTTGCCCATCTTAACAGGTGGACCAGCTTTCCTCCTCTACAGAGGTGCTGCCTGAGAGGTGGGCACAGTCACTTGGTCCTCCTGGGATGACTGCTGGAGCCACTGTCCCCAGGCTCTGCAGAGCCCACCTCTGCCCTTCCCCACCCTGCTTTCTTCTCCCATCCTAACTCATACATCTGTCTCAGAGCCCTCTGCGGGCATGCTTCTGCCTTGCCTTGCTGCTCCAAGAGAGACTTCTGTTCTCATCCTGACTGTGTCAGATCTGGTTTTGTTCCTCTTCTGTCGTGACTTCAGCCTTATTTTACTGTTGTGTCCCAGTCCCAGACTACGTGGTTGAACCAAGGTGCGGTATTTTTATAACTGTGTGATTTGTTGGTGAAATCGTGCTTAGCATCTAACTTCTGTGCTGAAGCATCACCCCTTCCCCTGGGAAGCCTCTCTAACTCCCCCAGCAGCACAGGATTAGATGTGGAATCATTTGTCACCATGATCATATCTCCAAGTACGGCTCCCAGCCTCAGCTCAAGTCCTGATACCTCCGAGGCCTGAAGAATTGTGGCTAAACCAACACATACATCAAACATCTTAAACCTCTTCAGGGTGGGAGTGAACTTTCGCTTTGGTGTCTGTGCCCTGTGTCACCTCAGTCCCACCACATAGCTTTCAAATCACCAGTGTCTCTGGTAGGGCTTGGTGAATGGCTGGGTAAAATCGTATGGTTACTAAGCATCCTGGGGCCACAGAGAAAGAAATGAGTGGTCCAAGTGGTAGGCATTTCTGAGCACACACATTTATTTTGCACACCTGACCTTGCACTGGGCATTTCAGAAATGGTTTCACATAAATGTGAGCTGAGACTTGGGGCACTGGGTAGCACCTGGACATCCCTCAGAGCAGCTCTGCCTCTGAGAACTACCTAGACACACGTCCACCCAGCACTATGCTCCCCTGGAGAAAGTCCTGGTCCACCCCCTATGCTCTGACCTGGCCTTTTAAAGGGAGGGTATCTGGTCTTGTTCCTACTTTCCAAGGACCACCAACTTTATAATTGATACCAGTGTGCCTGGTCTCCCCAGGTGGGATCAAGGTTGGAAAGGACCTGACACCGGAGACCAGTCCCTAGAGCATAGCTTCTGTTGGTTCTATTCCCACCCCCCACTCCTCAGCTTTTCCTACCCTTCCTAGCCTGTTACCATGACAGCCAGGACTTCCTTCTCACAGTCCTTTCTCTCTCTGCCTCACATCTCACCATCCTTTCAGCCCTCTGCCTCTGACTCCATCACTGTCCTTCTCACCTGCAGCCTTTCACTGGCCTAGTCATCTTCCCCTTCTCTGGACCCTGTGGCTTTATTTTTAGCTGCCACTCTCAGCAGCATCCTAAGCGTCTGGGGCACTGGCCCAGGCTGAGTTGGGGGTCCTTGCAGGCACTGGAGGGGGTCCAGGGTGGGTAACTGTCCCCATTTCTCACCCAGCATCTGGGATTGGTGCCCACTAACAAGTGACCTTCCTCACTGCTGGTGCCTAGGGTTGGGGGATCCTCGGGACAGAGCTGGCATTGCTGCACACACAGGTCCCAAGCTCAGACTGGAACACAACGGAGGCTAGATGGCAGTGGGGGAGGGCTAGAGAGAAGGGCTCCAGAAGAGGAATTAGGTCAAGGATGTGGGTGGGTGGGCGAGAGGAAAGGACAGCTTCTACCCCAAGCTTCCTCCTGGCTCCAACAGCATCTCCACACTTCCCTTCCCTGTCTCCTCCCCCTGGTCCTGGGAGATTTCTCCCCGTATCCCCCCTGCCCCATGTCCCCCACTCCAAGCATGGCCACAGGGGTGGGGGTGGGGTGGGGGGAGGCCAGCCTCAGCTGTCTGAAGGATGGAGGGGCTGGGGAAGCAGGGCTAGGTGCCCAGACGGCCGCGTGTGTGGGAGGGGATGTCCTCAGATGCCCTCCACCCGGCAGTCCCCGCTCTGACGTGGGTGCCCCCCCTCTCCCCGCCCGGATTAGTGGCAGCTTGGCCTGACTCTCCGGGGCTCCTTCCCCCGCCCTGCCTGCTGCCCACCCCTGGGCAGGGGGCTACTCTGCCTGAGGGGCACTGTGCTTGCCCAGGTAAGGGGCTCTGGGGTGGAGAAAGGGCAGCTGGCTGTGAGTGAGTCTGTGCCTGTCAGCATGAGTGTGTGTCAGCATGTGTGTCAGTGTGTGAGGGGTCGGTGTGGGCTAGGGCTGGGCCCATGTGAGTCTAGGGGTGCTAGTCAGTTTGCCAGGTCCATGGTCTGGTCTTGTGACCACACACTGGGTGGCCTTCCCCCTGTGTTTGTGTCTTTTGTGTACCTCCTCTGCTTTGCTCCATCTTCAGGCACAGCACAGCCAGCTACAAGGACTCTGGCCTGTGGCACAGGCTCTAAGACAAGGATGGGGAATGTGGTGGAGTGGGGGTGGCACTTCTCACCTTCATCTCCACTAACCCCTAAGCATTCCAGAAGACTGTCCTGAGAGCTCTGCTCTACTCCGGGCGATATAATCGTCAGGCAGATATAGTGACTGGAGGTATGGGGGTGGGTATCTGATCAGCTCCCCTGAGACAGTCCCTGTCACCTTAGGGGAAGACAGCCACAAGCCCCTAGGACTCTGGACAGCCCACACTTCCACTCTGGCCACTTCCAGGCCTCAAGCCACAGGACTCTCCCACAAGCCTCTGCTAAGGTAGGCCAGGGAACTTAGCCTGGGACCACAGGCACATGCCAACCCACTATCTTGCCCTGGAGTCAGGCTGGGAGCCAGAGGCCAGGCTAGACCCCTGTTGCTCCAGTCCCTATTAGACCCTCCTCATTCATCTCCCATAGCACACTAGGGTCAGGCCACCCCCAAGGGAGTGGGTAAGAACAGGAGTATGAAAAACTCAGCCGTGTAAACAACCCCTGCCAGCCTGCCCACCACAGACTTGGTCTCTGTGAAGGAGAGCAGTTAGGAGGATCTGTATCAACAAGGCCCAAGTCGGAGCAGGCAGCTAGTACGGACCTCCTCCCCCAAGAGAACCCATCTAGTTTTCAACAGTTGGTGAAGGGCTCCTTGCCTTCACTCCTGTCTCTTACATGAAAGACCTTGGGCTTTTCTTGATACCCCCCCCCCTTCAGAGATGGTGGAGTGACTTGAGACCAGATTGTGGCCACCAAAATCCATTTCTTCCACAGCGAATGGGAGTTAAGTGGTGTTGCTTCTGTTTCAGACTGGGCTCAAGAGGCAGGGGAGTATAGGGGCAGAAGGTGGGTGCCTTTAGGGAAGGGAAG